GTTCCCTGGGTGGATGGTTTGTAATGATGCCAAAGTGCAAGTTCAATTCTTGCACAGGCTGAGGTTGCCATGAAGGTACCACCTTTTCAATCTCACCCTCACCTGACGTGTGGTGACGCTCAGGTTAAATTCACCACCAATCATGTCTCTTTAATGAGACAGAACCCTGATGATCTTCTGGGACTATGGCTACTTTTACAACAGTAGCTAAAAGCTAAGCAACAGTCTCCTTCTTATGCCATGTGGATGCATGTTTCTTTGCAATTTATCAAATTTTCACTTAAAGAAATAATCGCCTCTGCCTCAAACGTAGCAAAACATTCAATGCTCCACTAAGCTCTCTTCATACTCTCTTAATGATATTATTAAATCCATGACTCCTCATCACTAACTCTATCAATAATACTACCTTTTTTTAGACTTTTCCTAACTAGGTAGGCAATGAAGATACTACAGAATATCTAGTTCAGTATCTTCTCTATAACTTCATTTGTGAAAAACAGAGTTCTATCTTCATTCTTGAGTTGTTACTACCCATCTTGATTGATCCAGTAATGTATACATGTTTTTGTTCCATTTTTGTTCCATTTAATATTGACCTACAGGCCTATTTAAACTTTCATTTAGCCCTTCCACTCTTCATTTTTACTTTCCCGTTCTGTCTTTTCACAACACTAATTATATAAGGCTTTTTAAATGGAAAACCAGAGCTTTATTAAATAAATTGTAGTTTCCACATTTAGTTACTGTGAATAAATAACGTGCAATTTTTAGTTCTTGACACCTCTACTAGCAAAACTACCAATCTGTACTATGTTGTGATATTGTTTGACTGTTTTTAGTTGTAACATTTGGTTCCCTGTATTCCACTGTAGATAGAGATAGTATCTAGTGTGAGCTGTAGTTCTTTAGTTTCCTTCCCAGCTCATTGTACAAAGGTAAGGAACAATGGATATTATTATAGAAATCATGAACTTGACTGTGTCATTTTACTGGTTTAGTAATAGAGAGCTATCACTTTTCTCTATTTCCCATGTGTCTGCCTTCTTCATTTCCCAACCAGTCACACTGTGTCTTACAGCACATACTTTATTAGTGTTTCCCATGTGGATTCCAGCACTGGTACAATCAAAAAATTTTCAGTTCAGCTACTGATGTTTAATCACAGTAGCACAAAGAATTAAAAGGATCAAAATAATGTTCTTGAAACAAAGCAAATGGTTTAAGTCAAATAATTATGCTTCTCCAGACTACAAATTTATGGAATGCAATGCTACCAGTTGGCCAGTATGCCTTTGGAAATAACAGTATATGGCTCTAAACTTTGATTTCGTGGGTCTTCATTTGCTTGTTTACCCACTTAAAAAAAAGGATTACACAATAATCTAGTACAAGATCAAGACACTAAAAATAGACTTTGATTTGTTGGAATCCCTTTAGTGAAATGGAATTGTCATTGCTATAAACACAGTCACAGCCTGGTTTGGCAGCACTGTACAAGTGAAAAAGAAGTATGACCTTGTGTGTGATTGTAATGTGCTACTTCTAAAGCAGACTGTGAGCCATTTCATCTGTTGTGATTAATATTTAGACACCACTAATAAGTGGAGACGTGGACCTTTTGGTAACAGCTGTGAAATTTGTGCAATTACAGGCAAACTAATTATAACACATTGCATGATTAACAATAAATATACTTAAGCAGATCTCCCCAGAAATATTCATAGGTGGTGCATATTTTTATAATATTGAACTTATAGAACTGTTAAAATTGGAGAAAAATAGCCTGGTCACATCATTTTATAACAATAAATATTTATTTCATCTGAGAATGACTATAAATATTTAGTAAATGATTTTTAAAAAATCATATCAAAGATTAAGTATATTACTTTAATTTATATTCAACATTTGAGACACAAAAGCAGACACAATTCAGTGAATTAAAATGGGAAAAATAATCTTTCCTCTAAGCCAGTTCCAGGCAACTATGATTCATTAGAAAAACAATTTTCTGTCTGAATCTAGTGTGTAACTAACAACTAGAAATGGATAAATAATTTACAGCAGTGAAAGTTTATACTCTATGGCTCTTAAGAGCCAAGAAAGAAGATTTACACATAGAAGCAGGAGATATGGAAATGTGTCTTTGCATCTCCTTCTACCTTTGAGGCAGATGCTGACTGGCCACAGTGACAGAGGAGGAAACTTGGTTATTAGATGGGTTAAGAGTTGCTAAGGAGGTACTGGATAAAATGGCAATATAATAAGGTTGACAAAGGTAGCAAGGCTGGCGGGAGATTCATCTAATATATTGAGGGAAATGAGGTGGGAAATTGCAGTAGCACTGGCAATAATTGTTCAATCTTAGCCAAAAACTGAAAGAACTGCAGATGCTGGAAATCTGAAGGAGGGTCACCGGACCCGAAACATTAACTCTATTTTCTCTCCATAGATGCCGCCACACTGGTTGAGATTTTTCAACATCTTCATTCTGGAGTTGTTACTACCCGTCTTCATTGATCCAGTAATGTATACATGCTTATAAAAACCCTTTTTGTTCCATTTAATATTGACCTACTGGCCTATTTAAACTTTCATTTTCAACAATTTCTGTTTTTGTTTCAATCTTCCAATCTTCCCTGAACTCAGGGTGGTGCCAAGGACTGGAAAATTGCAAACATTATATACCCTGGTTCAAAAAGGTCGTAAAGAGAAACCCAGCAATTACAGACCAGTCAGTTTAACTTGGGTGGTAGGAAACCTTTTAGAAACAATTATTCAGGATAAGATTACCAGTCATATGGAAAAATATGATTTAATTTGGAAGAGCCAGCATAAATTTGTTAAGGGAAAATTGCATCTAATTAATCATCTGCAGTATTTTGAAAAGGTAGCAGAGTTGGTAGAGGGCATTTTTGATAAAGTGGTGTACATGGACTTCCTTACCTAAGGAATCATGTTCTGACAATGGAGGGAGTGCAACAAAAATTTACCAGACTGATGCCTGGGATGGCAGGATTGACGTATGAAGAGAGACTAGATTTGATTAGGCCTGCATTCAGCAATAAATTTCTAACAGGATAGACAGTGTAAATGCTGGAAGGATGTGCCCGATGACTGGGGAGTCCAGAACCAGGGATAATAGTTTAAAGATATGGGGTAGGCCATTTAAGACTGAGATGAGGAGAAATTTCTTCACCTAGAGAGTGGCGAGGCTTTAGAATTCTCTGCCACAGAAAGCAGTTGAGGCCACAACACAATGCTTTCAAGGAGTTGCATATAGTTCTTAGGGCTGAAGATATCAAAGGGAGAAAGTGGGAGTAGGTCACTGAGCTGAATGATCAGCCATAATCATATTGAATGGTGGAGCAGTCTTGAAACACTGAGTGGCCAACTCCTACTCCTATTTTCTATGTTTCTATATGTCTAGTAACACCTTCAAAAGTTTCAGTATACAAACTTTCCACCTCTGCTCTTGCTCTTGTCCTTATCTGTTGCCGTAAATATAGAAAGTGAGCTCTCGGAACACCATTTGATGTTGAATTCCATAAACTACAATGTTAGCAAAATGAAACAGCTGGTCATCGACTTCAGGAAGCAGAGTGGAGGACTCGCACCTGTCTGTATAACTGATGCTGAGGTGGAGGTGGTTGGGAGCTTCAAGTGCCGAGGAGGAAAAATCACCAATAATCTGTCCTGGTCCATCTACACCAACGCTTCAGTCAAGACAGCACTCTATTTGCTCAGAAGGCTAAGAAATTTGGCATGTCCACAATGACTCTTAGCAATTTCTATAGATGAACCCTAGAAAGTATCCTATCTGAATACATCATAGCTTGGTATGGCAACTGCTCTGCCCAATACTGCAAAAAATTACATGTAGTTATGAATGCAGCCCAGTCCATCACGAACACCAGGCCTCCTTCCATTGACTCAGTCTATACTTTCCCCCTGCCTCAGGAAAGCAGCCAACATCATCAGAGATCCCTCCCTTTTCCGTTGGGCAGAAGATACAAAAGTTTGAAAACACATACCAACAGATTTAAGAACAGCTTCTTCCCCACTGTTATCAGACTTATGAACAGACCCCTCATAAATTAGAGTTGATCTTTCTCTGCATTTTCTCTGTAGCTGTAACACTGTATGCTGCATTCTGTTCTATTACCCTGTATGTAAGGTATGATTTGTCTGTATAGCATGCAAAACAATATATTTCACTGCATCTCGGTACGCATGACAATGTTAAATCAAATTAAATCAAAAGACCTTGAGTACTGCTGAAGAAAAAGATACATTTTGTTCAAACTTTACATCTTGTAATCATTAGAAGCATTCACAAGAAAGACATTCCCCTCTGCTTCAGATCACATGTAAATGATAAATTCCGGAAAGCAATCCAGTGGCAAGAAGGTGTCACTCCTTTGTCATCCGCATGAACGTCAAATACATAGTTCAGATTACCTACGATTATGTGCAATGTCTGCTCAGAACTACTGAACACATGAGCTTCAGATCTTAAACCAGTAAATTGGCATTGTTGAAGAGGAATATGAATTATTCAAATGAGCTAATTTATCCTAGATAGACTTTGGAAAGTTAATAGAGAGCAAAGAATAAAAATTGTAAATAGTAGAAACTAAGAATAATTAAACAAGAATTGAAAAACATTTCTAGAATTACAAACAAGAATAAAAATTTTTCAGTATTTGAAAAACACTGAAAATTACAGCTGAAGATAGGAGGAAACAAAGTAAGAGTTCTAATCAGAATTAAGTCTTTTGAGCAGAGCGGCTATGCAAAAGCACTAGGTCTTTAAAGGGATCATACTTTTGTGTGATTGTTCAGTCCTGAGACTTAATAAGTGATGGAATATTATAACACTTATCCTTTCCCAAGTCAAACAGTCAATGCCAACATAGGATTTTAGCCATATTCAAGATAAATAGTTTCGGGATTTAGAGGTAGGGCAGAAATAAACAAAGTAGCATTATATCTACCTGCTTGAGTCCAGCCAATGATACCAGGACTTCATCTTCCTTTTGAACGTTTTCCTTTAGAATTACTTCTTGTATTTTACCTGAAGAAAAAAATAATTATACATAACTTCAAAGTAGATTTGATCAACAATAGAAGGATGTAAACACTCTGCAATCTGCTTTTTAAATGTATTGAAATAAAAAAGCAGTTTCAATTTTATAAACAGAATAAAGCATTGTTCCTAGATTTTGCTCGAGGAGTTCAAAATCCTAGAACTCTCTTCCTTACGGCATTGTGGGTCCACCTACAGCACATTGTGGACTGCAGTCGATCAAGAATCATAGAATCCCTACAGTGCGGAAAGAGGTAATTTGCCCCACTGAGTCTGCACCAATCCTCCAAATAGAATCCCACCCAGACACAGCCAGCCACCTATCCCTGTAACACCATCCCCAATCCATCTAACCTGCACATCCTGGACACTAAGGAGCACCTTATCATAGCTAATCCACCTAATCTGCACAACTTTGGATCTGGAGTACCCAGTGAATTCCCATGCAGGGAGAATGTGCAAACTTCAGAAAGACAGTGGCCCAAGGCTGGAATTGAACCCATGTCCCTAGCGCTGTGAGGCAGCTCGCCACCACCTTCTCAAGGGCGACTAACGATGGGGAATAAACGCTGGCCCAGTCAGTGGCCCATGTCCTACAAGTCAAAAAAGACTGAGATTTCACAGGTTTTTAAGGTCAAGAATTTGAAAGGATTCACATCTCAGAGCAGAAATTTCAGCCAAGGGGTACCTCCTTTTAACAGCTATGCTTGTCAAGTCCTTAAAAGTTTGAAGTGTTTCGTCATTCTAAACGTCAGGGAATATAAGCTAATTTTACTTAATCACTCCTTAGAGGACAATCCTCTTTAGTCAGGATTCAATCTACTGAATCAACCATTATTGTCCCCTCAGCAAGATAACTACGGGGAGGGGGTGACCTCAGGCAGAACAGTGGTTGCGTCTCACCTCTGGGCCAGAATGCCCTTTAGGTTAAAAAAAAAACTAAGATTATCTACCGTCCTTAAGGTAATATCTCATCAAAATTAGAGTTGTGACGAGACTTCCTTATTCTTATATTCTAACTCTCATGTAACAAAGGTGAACATACATTTTTCTAAGTTCTTGCTGTGCCTGGATAATAAAATCATTACATAATACTTGGAAATTTGGTGCAGATGGGAACCTCTGGCAAGTTCTTGTCAAACTATAATTTAGAGTATCAGTCACATTCTTAGAGTCTTAAAATTACAAGCTAGTTACAGAGCATAATTTACAGAAATTACCTGACAGTGGTGGTTATTTGTCAATCAATTGAACAGTAGCAGGAAGCTGACTTACTAGTTGTAACTTGTGTGTAAATCACTAACCCTCTATAAGAGTAGACTGGTTTCACTGTTGAGAAGATGAAGAGGTCTGAATGCAATGAGTATGGTACTACTTAGGAATTTAGTGCAGGTCAGAAAATAGGTGTTGTTTTTGATGCCTTCTACTTCAACACCCAGAAACTAGTGAGTGTTAAGGCTTTAATTAAGAGACCAGTTAGTTGACTTGTGAGTTTTTTTTTTAAGACTTCACCATCAGATCGCAGACAGTAGTCTAACCTGGTACTGGGCAGATATGAGTATTGTATCTAATTCATAGCTCATCTCATTACATTATTTGGTATATTGGCTGACATTAGCCGAGTGAAATTTCTATTATGAAACCTATTGAGTTAAATTGAACAGAATAAAGACAGCAGAAGGGTTTTGTGATGCAGTAATAGTGTCCCTACATCTGGATTTGAAGTCCCACCAGAAGTATGTTACAACACATCTAAACAGGTTGATCAAATACCTCAGGTAACAGGTTGGAGATGGATTGCAGCTATAGCTGGTGCCCAGCAGAGTGATCCACAACAATTACAACATGTCCTGGCTGGTGTCAAGCTACTTTACTGTTGTTGAAGCTGCACTCAGGCATACAAATGGAGAGTATTCTATCACACTATTGTCTTGTGACTTATTAAGGTGAATCGGCTTTGAGGAGTCAAAAGGTAAGTTGCTTACTGTAGTATTCCTAGTGTCTGACAGGCTCTTGTATTTTCAGTATTTATATGGCTGATCCAGTTGGTTTGTGGTCAATGGTAACCCACAAGATATTGTTAATGGGAACTCAGCAAAGTAATGCCATTGAATGTCAGGAGAAGATGGTGGTTAGATTCTCATTTGTTGGAGTTGATTATTGCCAGGTACAGGTATTTCTGCTATAATGTGTGTTTTGTTAACGCGAATTGGCTGTAAGGTGATTGATGAATAGTAGATGCTGTTTGGATAACGTAAACTTTATGCTGTGGGTATAGCGATTTTCTATAGTGATTTCCTATGGGGATTTTCTATTGTGCGAGGTCACACGAGAATGCAACTATTGTGTTATGGGAGAAATAACTGTACTTGTTTGGCACAAATGTTACTGGCCACTTACAAAGGAAGGAAATTCATTGATGAAGCAACTGAAGCTGGCTTGTCTGGGTTAATACCCTAAGGAATTCCTGTACTTGTGTTATGCAAATGGTACTTTTCAGGTATCACCGTCAATGTGCCATATATTGAGGGGTGAAGGTCATTGCTTAATACAGCTCAGCTGAACTTGGCTATGCCATCTTCCTGCAGCAGCGAGCATAACCACAACTATCTTCCTTTGTGCTAGGTACGACTCCAACGAGTGGAAGGGCCCCCCACATCAGCTCCATCATTCCCAATTCTCCAGCTTTGTTAGGGCTCCTTGATCACACACTTGGTCAAGTTTGGCCTAAATGCCAAGGACAGTAATCACCCTCACCTCAGCTATGGAGTTCTACTCTCTGTCCATGTTCGGACCAAGATTGCAACGAGGTCATGAGTGGCATTTACAGTTCTGAAATTAAGGATTAGGAAGCCCATTATTGATGACTAAGTGCTGTTTGACAGCACCATGATTGATAGCACCTTCTAGTATTTGTCTGATAATCGAGAATAGACTGATGGTGTGTTAATTGGCTAAGATTGCATTTGTCCTGCTTTTATGGACAGGAAGTATCTGACTAGGCAATTTTGCACATTCAAGAGAGACAGCAATACTATGGCTGTACTGCAACAGCTTGGCTAGCAACATGGCTGGTTCTGATACACAAGTCTTCAGTAATATTGCTGGAATGTGATCCAAACCTTAGCCTTTGAGATATCTGGTGCCTTCAGCCATTCCTCGATATCACAAGGGTGAATCATATTAAGTGCAGACTTGCCAGGAATGGAAGGTTTGAGTTATAAAGAAAGATTGGATAGGCTGGGACATTTTTCACTGGAGCTTAGGAGGTTGCAAAGTGACCTTCTTGAAGTTTTTAAAACAATGAGGGGTTTAGATAGGGTCAACGGTAGGTGTCTTTTCCCTAGGATGGGGGATTTCAAGACTAAGGGATACATTTTTAAGGTGAGAGGACAGAGATTTAAAAGAGACATGAGGGGCAAATTTTTTACACAGAGGATTGTTCATGTGTGGAATGAACTTCTTGAGGAAGTAGTAGATGTGGGTGCAATTACAACATTTACAAGACATTTGGATAAGTACATGAATAGGAAAGATTTGGAGGGATATGGTCCAGGAGCAGGACATGGGACCAGTTTAAGTTTGGGATTATGTTCGGCGTGGACTGGTTGGACTGAAGGGTCTGTTTCTGTGCTGCATGACTGTATGACTCTATGATGTTGGGAACATTAGGGGAAAGCTGGGATCAATTATTCATTTGGCACTTCTTACTGAAGATGGCTGCAAATGCTTCAGACTTGCCTTTTACAGTTATGGGCTGGGCTTTTATATCTTTGATGATAGGAATAGTTGTGCAGTTTCCCCTTCCAGATAGCTTTTAGTTGTCTATCTATCTTTCCCATACATCAATCAGTGAATGAAAAACTGAACGTGTCAACATCAAGGAAGTGAAAGGAAGACAAAGAAAATTCTGTGGTCTGGATTGGTGCTAGGAAACTGGTTCTCCTTGATTTTGTTTATTCCCCCCCCTTTTTCACTCTTAAAATCCATGCCTTGGCTGGCTTGTGTGCCTGTATGTGAACTGAAAAACTCAAGAAAGGGGCATTGTTTATGTTTGGAGTTATGTTAATAATTCATATTTCCTTTCTGTCATTGGTAAAGACAATTTGTTCACGATAAAGTTTTTTTTGTTATGTATGGAAACCTGTGATGACTTAGGGACTGGTATTACTTAATTTCTAACATATTACTCCAATGCGTTACGAAACAACAAGGTCCAAGATGCTGATGCTGACTCTGCCGGGTTGATAGGATTGGGCTTGCCATCTATGCCTAGGTTATTACTAGGTGGTGCAACCAATTTCATTCCTTGTTTAGACTTTGCAGAAGTTTGTCATTTCAGAATACAAACGAAAAGAACTGCAGATGCTATAAATCAGAAACATAAATAGAAATTGCTAGAAAAGCTCAGCAGGTCTGGCAGCATCTGTGGAGAGAAATCAGAGCTAACCAGAATAGTTAATTCTGATTTGTCATTTCAGAGGCCTTTTAAGAGTCAACCACATTGCTATGGGTCTGGAGTCACATGTAGGCCAGGCCAAATAAGGGTAGCAGATCCCCTTCCCTAAAAGGCACAAGAAAACCACATGTGTTTAACACAACAATCAACAATGGTTTCATGGTTACCACTGGAGTCACTTTTAATTCCAGATTTAGGAACTGAATTTAATTGGTGGGTTTTGAATCCATACCCCTGATCATTAGACTGGACATCTGGATTACGAGTTGAGTGACATTGTCATTATGCCTTTGCCTCTGCCTCTCCCCTGAGCCCTAAACTTTCAGAACAACCTCTTGGTTTTTCTTTATTTACCCTAGTTGTATTCTCAAAACTGTCAAATGAAACGTTCTTTTCATAAAATTGCATGTTTTCTTGAACAGCAGGGTTATTTTTGAATAGCTTTTGGATTCTGGAATGATGCAGCACAGAAGGAAGCCATGTGGCCCATCATATTGTGCAGGCTTTTTCATAATGCTAACTATTTCCG